GAAACAGGGAGATAGAAGGGAAGGATATGGTTGAATCTTATGAGATGTCTCATGTGGCTATTACAGCTCCTCAGTGGCTGGATTTAGACTCTTGTCACGTGACTTGTGTGATTCAGTATTTTGCAGTCCTATTGAAAAAAAAACAAAAACCCTCAGTTCTCCTCACTATCTGCTCACTGTTGCTACTGTGTTAATTTCCCTGCCCGTTATAAGCTCACATTTTAACCCTTTTATTTCTACAGGATTCCAGCTATTCCTGAATTTCATGGAAGTCTGAGCATTTGGGTATTCATTCAACCTTAATGTTATTGAAGTACTGTTGACCAATATATGCACTGTGCAGCAAAAGTGAAAACTTTAATTCTTCCTGGACTGATTTTGGCTCGATGCAGAAAAGCACTTAAGCACATGCTTAAATCCATCCTTCTTCAACTCTTAAGCATGTGCTTAAGTTCCATTGACTTAAACATGTGCTTCACTTGAAGCACGTTCCTAGGTATTTTCCTGAACCAGGGCCTTAGAAAGGAACAATACTAGTAAGACAATGATGGAGTACTAGAAAACAGACAAACTATTATGACTGTGCACTGCTTAGAAAGGGAAAAGGGATAAAGAAACAAAAATAAACAAAAATAAATTTATGTTAGCCATTAAAGTCTGCCAAGATTAAGTCCTTCTATGCACATTACTTATTGGATTTACTACAAAATGCAGATCTGCATATCAGGGCACTTTTGTCCAAGAGTGGCTTCTCCTTCCTGAAAATCAAATCCTGTGCCAAACTGGGCAGCACAGATATAGAATACCATGCACTGAATCATACCTGATCCAAATAAGATATTTTAGTGTGGAGCAATATTTCATAACCAACATAAATCTAACAACCATTATAGCTTATGGGAGGAGAGCTAAATCACAAATTCCAATGATTCCCTACCTGGTCACACAGCAGGTGTACAAATTAAGAATTACAAATTAAGAATACTCAAACAACCTGATCTGAGGCCTACTGAAGTCAATGGAAAAAGAGTCCCATTAATTAAAACACCTTTTAGATCAGGGCCAAGGAATACACTTAAGCATAATCAACATTACAATTTTTAAAATCATGTATTAACCTATAGTTAAAAACAACTAGCAACAAATGCCTGTTCCTTGTCTACACTACAATTTACCATTGTGTCAGTTTAAACATGATTGCAAACCAAATTGGAGGCAAGCCCTTAGTGAACTGCTATGGCACTGAGTAAAATCTGACAGCCATCTGGAATTCATACTTTAACACTGTATCCTCAATTGTCTGAATGAAGACCAGAAGGCCTGATGTTCCCCATATATCTCGCTCCAATTGTTCTGGAATAAACTATACCAACAGATACTTTACATAGGATTCCAGAGAGACTTTACCTTGTTACTGCAGATATACCATTATTCACAGAAGTCATGGGGCTTGTACATCCTGGAACCATTTTGCAATTAGAACTTCTCCCTCTGCTGATTCAGCACTTGCTTTTTGTCTAACCCAGCATGCCATCAGCGCTCTCATGATAGTCTTCTCCTCTGCAACTTCTACCATCTGAAATAATCTGCCTCTCTCTTTCCACCTCTTTTCAAATCTCACCTGAAAACACACTCTCTCCTTTGTCTATACACCTCTTAATTTATCCCTTTCTCCCTTTAGAAAATGCACTACACTGAGTTGTGTTGTATTGAAATGTTCTTTGGGTTCACCTCTATTTTTTTCCCTCAATTTCTATTTCAGGCAGGAGGAAGGAATCCATTTTAGGAGTACACTAATAGATGTTCGCAAGCAATGAGCTGACCATGACCAAAAGGAGAACATGAAATAAGCTATACTAGTCAGAGCATTAGGACAGGGCAGTCAGCTCTACCACAAACTTACTGTGACACCTTGGGCAAATAGCTTAAACTTTCTCTGCCTTAGTTTCCTCATAATTTTCAATTATGACAGTACCTCACGTGTGTGATGTTAAAGTTTGTAAAGGGCTTTGAGTTCCTGGAATGGAAAGAGAATCCAGAAACAGAATCATCATCCTCATTATTACTACAAACTATCCCTTCACTGAATGGGATTGTTACAGGCCATAGCTGGCAACAAACGGGTATCTTTTCCAGTCAGACTCAGAATCACAAGCATTCCTTCTGCACACATCTAAAGCTCCAATTAAATATGACAGAATATTTCTGGATAGGCCTCCCAACTTGCCCTAAATGTGGTTGCACTATGGATTCATTTTACCATATGTTCTTGGAGAACACGCTGAAGTATATATGTTCTGGTGCTCCACCTCCACGGGGAAAGGAGAGTTCCCTGGGTCTCTAGCACTACACTAAACATCACACTAATTCTCGCTTGTTTGGAGTGGGGAATATATAAAGTAGGCAGGGCATATACCGAACTATATATCGCATACCAGCCATCTTCTTTTTAGGACAAAGAAAATATTACAAAACCCATTTATAGAGACTGAATGCTGGTCATAACTGGCTAGGCAGATGATACATAGGGACCACTTAAAATATAGATAAAGATTTTAAGTACCATAGAATGCAGAGCTCCTATACAAAGTCTAAAACAATAAACAAGAACAACATCTGTTCAGTATATAGGCAATCATCTGAGGACATCAAAGTCAGACTTGGTATATATCAAGGCACCTCCAACACAGCCACTTTCACCAGATCTGAATTTGGCTCATGGTGCCTGTCTCCCTTATGTGGTCAATTCTCAACTTGGACCTTAAGGAGAGCTAGCACAAGTATGTGTACATGGAAATGGGAATCACACCCCTAGCTCATACTGTAGTGTAGACATACTCTGAAGCATTTGGTAACTGGTCAATGACAGAGATAGGATATGGGATAAATAAACAATTGTGGTCTGACCTGCCATAGCAATTTCTCTGTTCACATTCAAAGTATTACTATTATATAGAAGTTACTGTTTGGGATAATCTTGTTATGCATGCTTTAGTCATATTTTACATAGAGCTACCTGGGGCAAATCAGTGAAGTCAATTCATGCCTACATGAACATCAAGAAAGTTTTCGCAAAAAGAAAAGGAGTACTTGTGGCACCTTAGAGACTAACAAATTTTTTGAGCAGAAGTTTTCATTTTTTTATTTATGCTCAAATAAATTTGTTAGTCTCCAAGGTGCCACAAGTACTCCTTTTCTTTCTGCAGATACAGACTAACATGGCTGCTACTCTGAAGAAAGTTTTCAACATTTTCACTTATTAGAAGTGATGATAGGTGTACAATACAAAGTGCAACCTGTTGCATCCAACTAGTTTGTATTCGTCCTTAATATTTGAATAAATAAATAAATAAGTAAATTAATAAATAAAAGGCTGGCAGGCTCAAAATGTGATTTACTTTTTCAATATATATTTTTTTTGCAGATTTCATGTAATTTTTATACACTATAATATTGCAATAATGAATGGCAATAAACTAAACCGGTTAAAATTAACAGAAAGCTTGCCCTTATCACTTATGCAATTTACTAAGGGTAGTTGCTAGAACAAACACTTCTTTATGACAAAGTGCAGCCACATCTCCAGAAGCATTCCTCATTGTGAAGTTTTATTGTACATGGCTCTTCTGCAACCCCTCAAGCTATTGTATTAATGCTCTTTTTTCCTTTTGAAAGCAATATCAGCTCCAGCAACCTAACACTCATAAGCAGGCTATAATAGTAAACCAGTCAGTGCTCATAGAGAAAACACGTTTTAATTTCAGGTTTCTAATTTTTATTTTAATAAATAATGTGATAACATGATTTTAAAATAATGAAAACTACCTTGATAGCGTTAAGACTGCACAAATCAACCACTACACATTTTACAATATTTTCTTTTCCATTTGCTATATACGGTATAAGGAATTAAACTTTTCTGTACTCTAGCCAGCCTATACTACCTGGCCTTTCACTTCACCATGAAAGTTTGTCCAAATCTGGTCAAGTTACAAGCCTTTGAAAAACTGGAGTTCACACATACTCAGAGACTTACTAGAGTTTACGAGCTAAAATATCAGCATGTTCCATGAGAGGCAAGGTGGGCAATGTAATACCTTCTATTGGACCGACTTCTGTTGGTGAAAGAGACAAGCTTTCGAGCTCATGCAGAGCTTTTCTTCAGGTCCTCAAAAGCTTTTCTCTTTCACCAAGAGAAGCTGATCCAATAAAAGATATGACCTCATCCACCTTATCTCTCTAATATCCTGGGACCAACACAGCTACAACAACATTACAAACAGAATATTCCATGCTCACTAAGCATGCTTCATCCCCTCAGAGCTCCTACATGTGATTGCTATTAGGCATACGCCATCTCCACAGAGTGACTGAACATGTACCAGCCCAGGGCTCCAGTGGCTCAGAAGGACTTTCCTTGTCATGGTTACTCCCAGCTCCTCTTGAGCTGGCACCAGAGAGCAGGGAGCCTGGTGCCCAAGCAGCATGGACAAGGAAGCTGTCTGATTCAAATCCAGAGGGAACAAAAGCTGAAATTGGTGGGGAGGGAGAGGAGTAGATTGGGACAAGGAGCATGTTGAGATTGGGACTGATGGTGCAGAGAAATTGTAATGGGATTGGCTGGGCAAGGAGACTAGGACCAGGATATCAGAGACCCACAAAAGCTTATGCCCAAATAAATCTGTTAGTCTTTAAGGTGCCACCCGACTCCTCGTTGCTTTTTTAGGACCAGGATGAGATGACTAAGCAATGGAGACTGGGACAGCAAGGACCATTACTCCCAGAGTTCATTGTCAGAGTCATAGAGCATACAGCTTTTTTTATACCAGTTACTTCAAACAAGCTGGCTCCTTCTTTAGAAATGTGTGTTGAAGTGTGTGGCAGTAGGAATGTGCTTTGGTTGCTTTTTATGTGAGTGAGCAGTGGGAAGGAGGGAATCTCTGTTGCAACCTTATTCTCTCACTTTCTCACTGCTCCAACTGTCAACCTTCCTTATGCAGAGTTCGGCTGGATTGGGCTCCTGGGCCACTGAGGTCTTTCAACATCTCTCCAACATCACCTGGATGGGCGTCTGGAGCGTTCATGGATGTCTCTCTTGCCAGACAACAATGAGCTGAGTTGGAGTAGTGCAAAGCATTAAATACAGGGGAGGCCTGGAGCAGAAGTATTATTAAGCAATAGTAAGCCTAAGGGCCAGATTCCATGACCCCCTTTGTTCTACCCACATAAGGGCCAGGCAGAAATTCAGTCCAGGAGCTCAAGGGAGCACCAAGACTTTTCCCTTTTCCCTTCCTACCAGCTGGGGGAACATAATGCCCCAAAAGAGGGCAGAGAGAGCTGGCCAGCTAGGCAGGAGGAAACTGTATCCAACACCCAAGGAAGGAGTGCAGCAGTGTGTATGCTCCCCAAGCACAATGGCAGCTCCAGGTGATCTCTGGGGGCAATGCTCCTCCAAAGCACCCCTTACTACACAGACTATTTGCAAAATCTAGAAAGTTCTCTGTGGGACAGAGAGGGGCTCATTTGAAATAATTCTTTCCCCTCCATAAATTCATACTCTTAATGTGGCAGTTTGCTTTAACTAAATGTAGGGGGCCAGTGTAAATATGCCTCTTTGAAGCATTTAACATTGTAAAATCTGTCACACAGCATTACCAACTCTTGCAAGCTCCAAAAGTCAAGCCAATATGCAAAAATCTCAGCTCTTACTTTTTTTTTTAAGTTAGTGTCTAGCCTTCATGGTAATGGAGGAAAGCTTGAATACATAATCAGAGTTTACCCAAAAGGATAAAAAAATAAAGGTAAATAAACAGAAACCAAAAGGCATTTAAAAGAAATGATTTTTAAGACAATTATTATTGGGGGGGTGGTTGACTCATGATTTTTTGAATGTTAAAGGTTAGATTATGTCATGTCTCAGGGGACTGGTAATGGGCTATGGAGCCTTCCATCTCTAGGTTCCCAGTCTGAATCTAGCACAGATTGACTATGACTAAAGATTTTTACATCTGATGACTGTTGAGTGGTCTGTGTGAAGTTAATCTGATGAGTTCAGTCCAATAACTAATGGACACGTGCCCACAGCACAAAGTGAGCACCATATATGCTGTGGGAACATGACCAAGCATTTCAAAAGAAGATGGTAGCAAAAGCTCTCCATTGAACGAGCTAAACCAAGGACTCATTAATGAAGCTTTGTTAACTGTATATAAAATACTTAATGTCATTGCTTTTAAAAAAGTATGGTGTGAAGTCGATGTGTTTTAATAATAATATCATGTGTCGTATGTGGGGGATACAAGCGATACAAAGTAAAAACAGCATTAAGCAATATAGAACAAGAAAACTTGCCCTCTTACCACCACAGAAAAGTTAAATATTTAATATAAGAGAGGTGACATCAGTTGGTGCAAAGTAAGAAAATTAACAAGGGTCCAACACGGGGAAGTTAAATGTGGACTCACAGCAGCCCATATGATGTGGAAGAAGTTTGTTTTCCCTCTTTAACTACTGTTGCAAGACAATGCAAGGTCTGGAAACCCCCAGACTCATACTGCTGTTTGCAGCTGGGGGGACAATCACATGTGCAGGTGTAATGTCTTACAGACAGAGTTGCTGGCAGGTGAATTCAGTCTGGGAGAACAGTCTCCAGACTGCACTATATGGTTCAGATGCTGGGATGTTGGGTAAAGTAAAAACTGACTACATAGTAATAACAAGCATAAAGTGGCAGCTGAAACTGACCACTTCTGATATGTTCCCAGGGACTGTTATTATAATTGGCCTATGTTTTATTTCACACTTAGATTTCCTGTGGCGATAAATGGAAAAATATATTTTGTACCAGTTTTTTAAAATGTAATTAAAATAAAAACAAAGTTAAAATTACAAGAGGATGCTTTAAAGGCAGAGCAAATTTATATTGTGGCATTACACCCCAGTGCGCTATCCTAGTGATAGTGAGCTTCCACCCCCAGGTTCGTACTTGAAGCTATTGTTTATGGTGGTTCAAATGACTACAACTACTGTGGTCTTGGGAACATGTTGCTGGGTAATAAACTTAAAAAAGGAGGGGGGGTGGAATATATGAAAATTAAACAAATGATTATGTAGAAAAGAAAAAAGGCATGGAATGTACGTCTGGCTTGACACAAATAATTAAACATGGGGAAGGCCTCATTTTTTGGAAGACAGGGATAGGAAGGTAACGAGAGCAGTAGGCTGAAAAGGAAATGTTTGTGCTAAGATAAGTAAATAGGTCAGTAAGGTAAAAGTCAGAATGTCTGAGCTAGCTAAGACTAGAGGGGGAATACCCCAGGAACCATTTACAAAAACAAGATAACAATGGATAAGATAAATTGGGAACATAGAGATGAGGTAAAGACTAAGATGTGCATAGACAGAGCAGGCTGTATAGCAATTGTTTCCTACAAATTTACCAAGCTAATTCCCAAAGTGTGATGCAATGTAAAGTAAATGCAATGTAATATGTAAATGTATACAAAGTAAGATGTTTGCTTGTAGCTTTGGCTGTGTGGTACCCACAATACCCACACCTACCCTGGAGTCTGATCAACTCAGTGTATGCCAAAGAAACCTGAGAGACGAGACTGAAATTGAACTCAGTTCTTGGGGAACTGAGTTGAAGAGGTCTTGGGGTGGGGGAACTCAATGTACCGGGGTTGCCGTAACACTATTATGCCAAATTGTCATAAACTTTTCTGGTAATCTCAGCGGAAGGAAAAGCGTGAAAGAACAGGGAGAATGCAATAACCACCCGTTTACCCCTAGAGGTGGTGTTTCTGGACTGAGGTACATTGTCAGGGCACCATGGGGAAGCTTATACTGCTGCTGCCCATGCTCTACCTGTTTTGGGTGGGGTGAGTGGGGCTGGTTCAGTTGGAGGTGGCCCAGCAGCAAATTTGGAAAGCTCATTATGTCCCACTCAACAGTGTGGAGGCATTGCTATTGCATCCCTGGAGGAGCAGGGAGCAGGGAGGAGCAGAATTCTGACCTTGGACTGAAGGATGAATGTCATCTTTCCAGCATCCTCGCACCATACCTACGAAGAGCCTCAGTATTTGGGCTTTGGGCAAGTGGAGTGAATTGCACTGTCAGAGCATACTGCAAAATTCATCTGTTTTCTTGAGCTTTTATTGAGAAAGGGAACTAATGGAGGGAAGTGAGGTGTTTAGATGTAGATATTTATTATTATTTCAGGGAAATATTCTAGTTGGGATGTACTATGTTTTGTATATTTTTAAAAATTGTTTATGTTTATAAAAGTATCTATAGATCCTGGGAATCAATTCTTGATATAAATCTGAACAAACATCCATGTCAAGGTGTCATTTTTGCAGTAACCTTTGAGAATTTCAAATTATAACAATGCTTTAATTTAGGCACAGAAGTAAAGTTAAGAAGGGGGTAAACCCAAAATGTGAGGATAACTGAAGGAAAGGAAGTGGATGAATCCAAAACCAAAAAAGAATGTGAAGGATGATCTTGCAACAAGGGGCTGCAGAGGGAATCAGACAGCAAGCACTTGCACAAGGGACTCTTCAATCCCAAAAGATAGGTTGGGGACTATGGGAGAGTAAGAAATTGGATGAGACGATCATGTTGCATACTGCAGGGATCTTAAATCAAGGTGTGGAGAGCTGGGTGGAGATGGGTAATAATTTTCAAACAGATTGACTGTTCTTTTCAGTGGTGTGGTAGATGTTCATCTGAGAGCCAATATTCTGCCCTAGAGGTGTCAGGACACAGGCCCAGATTTTCAAAAATGTCTCCATACAGTTTGCATCTAAATCCATATTTATGTTCCTAAATAAAAGTGTCCTGATAAGCATGAGCAGCTCCCAATAACTTTTACAGCTGAGGGTGATCAGCATCTCTGAAAATCAGGCCATTTTTATTTAGGAGTCTAAATCAGGATTTAGGTGCCTACTTTTAAGCATCAGAGGGGTAGCCATGTTAGTCTGTATCCACAAAAACAATGAGGAGTCCGGTGGCACCATAAAAACTAAGATTTATTTGGACATAAGCTTTCATGGATAAAACCCTCCCACTTCTTCAGATGAATGGAGTGAAAATTACAGATGCAGGTATAAATTTACTGACACACGAAGAGAAGGGAGTTACCTTACTAGTGGAGAACTAGTGTGTTAACAAGGCCAAGAGTGGACCACATACACCTTGATTGAAGTGGCCTTGTTAACACTGGTTCTTGTAAGGTAACTCCCTTCTCTTCATGTGTAAGTATATTTATGCCTGCATCTGTAATTTTCACTCATGAATCTGAAGAAGTGGGTTTTTTACCCACGAAAGCTTACGCCCAAATAAATCTGTTAGTCTTTAAGCTGCCACCGGACTCCTCGTTACTTTTAAGCAGCTAGGTTTGAAAATGTTGACCAATGTTTCCTCAACAAGGTTGCAATTGCTGTCCACTGTTGAGTGCCCATAGCACAGTCCTAGAGCCTGAAAGGATCCTTGCTAAATACAAATTTGCACAATCCTTACAGTGTGTCTAGAGGAAAGCAGTTCTGGAAATTATTTAATTTAACTATATGAAGAGCTGTTCTGATGTTCAGCAAATAATAGGTTACAGTCTTTCCTACAACATTACTTTTCTTTATTTTTACTTTTATTAAATGACTGTGAAACCTCCAAGGAAATTCACTCATGAAAAACGAAGCTCAAATTACATTCTAGGGTTCGGACACTCACAAGCCAAACAGCTGATTTAAAAAGATGAAGGAACCCAAACTAAACTGAAGTGTTGACTATTTGGTGATTCTGAAAACATTCCAGTGAACAAAAGAGCCTTTTTAAACCTACATGTGAAAGCAGCTTTTTCCCCCTTTCTCTCCGGAGCAAGCTACGTCAAGCCATTCTTGACTGGGAAGACAGGTTGGTCCAATATGGGACTCTTAATGGAAATGGAGGAGGGGAAAACCATGATCCTGCAAGACCCCTCATTTATTTAAAAATAATTCCTAAACCAATGTGGTCAAGCGTCAGCTTTAACATAGCATTTCCTGGCTTTTGCTGGTTTTTGACACAACCTCGATGTTATTGAAATATGGCTTTATGTTTATAAAATTTACCTCTAACACAGGACTGCTTGAGAAGCAGTGTTTATGCATTTTGTCAGATGTCATTAGTTTTTTTACACAAGAGGACACTACAAAGCTCTCTTTCGAACTTGTTTTAGACCAGGGAGGTTATTTGTTACAGAATTACTTTAAAATAAAATAAATAATAGATAAGGAGAGGGAAAGGTAATGAGATCAATGTTAATTCAATAGCATTTCTAACATTATTTTTACATTTAAACAAGTGGTCAAACACATTCTGCCTTCTTTTTTTTCTTTTTTTTATACAGCTATATCTGTCAGGATCTCATGGGCAAGCTTGTACTGGGACCGCTTGTATCCTGTGTGTTGTAAAATAAATCTGTGTTGGTCTACTCCCAATCTAAATATACTTTTGAATAAAGCTCTCACATGCAGATATAAATCTTGCAAATCAAAATCTGTTTCCAAGAGCTGTAACTTGTTGAATTTATATTTGCAAAACTAACAGGTGATGAAAAACAATACATTAAAGATTGCTTTAACTCTACCATAATACACTTCTGTTAGATCTTATTTTTATTGAATGATTTATGTCTTATTGGTTTTTCTAGTTTCACTTTTATATTTCCTCACCCACTATTTTAAGATGCATTTTTTTAAATCCAAAAAATACCTACCCAAGTCTAGTTACATGGCTAAATAAGAAAACCTCGTTAAGTGAGAATTATGGGTCTTTCACTGCCTATGCTGAGGAAACATATTGACCAAAGGGCAACCTAACCTAGGAAGGTATTACTAAAGTTATGCTTGGAATATAAAGATTTAAAACTGCATACATGAGGAGGTTTTTTCCTGGAGTGTCAAAATAATAGAAGCAGCAATGGTTTTTACAGAGCTCTGCATAATAGAGTTCACAGCACACAGTTTACTCAGCACAAAGCAACACGGTATTTAGTTAAACATACTTATGGACAAAGTGTATTACAGATGCAAAATTGTGTGGTCTCTGTCTCTAGAAAGGTGCTAATGTGGATTCAAATTTCTGTATAATAGGGCCTTATGAAGGACAAAGCCATCTTGAAATAGATTGCCTTTATAGAGAACTCTCCCATTCAGGGCAATCACAGAAATTCTGCTGTACTCAATCTGCAGCTACTCACACACAATTACATAAGTGAATAGAAAATCTGAATTATCTGGAGGCAGCTATGGCAACTATTTCTAAAATCACTCAAGGTTTCATATACAATTCTGTTTGTGCAAGTTTAGATATGACCTTTCTTCATCTCTCATCATTTTAAATAACACAGTGTACTGGCTTATAATATGCTGTTTAAAATGATAATTACTTAACTATAGAGGCCAGACAAGGTTGGTCCAGGTTGTGCTTGGTGCACTACAAGCATAAAATAGACTACAGTCATTGCTACACGTTGCTTACAAGACAGAAAGGGAAACAAAATTAATGTCCAAGATGGTTGCAAAATATAAATTATTATTCAGGTTAGAGTGAATTTTTGCTTATAGGGGTAAATCTTGCAGTTCTTACTCAGCCAGAACTCCCATTTGAACTGGGTTAAAATTGTATAATCACAGTTTTATTACGAGGAATAAAAGAACATCACTGTTGGAATGTTCCACTTTATATAGCAAGGGGGAAAACAAGTTCATGTTATTTTGAACCCCTTGAGGTATACCTTCACAAGTAGCAAAATAAATTTCTGTGATTGCTGTGGCACTGTAAGTTCTTGATATACTGAAAAGCAGAGTAAGTAGTCACAGAAACGACACAAAATGCACCCAGCCTGAATTTAACAGGCTGCTTTTTGTCAATATTTCAAACGCATTTCACCCAATAAGCATATTTATCTACATGCTAGGGCTTCTAAGGAGGGCTGAAGTTATGGATGTGATGGGGTATACAAAATCGACACAGAGCTAATATGTCTCCATGTACAACTTCACAAGCTCAGATCATGGGTGAAATCCCGACCCCACTGAAGTCAACGGCAAAACTTGCATCAATGTCACTGGGGCCGGGATTTCACCCTATGAAATTACAGCATTTATGTGAAAAGGACAACGGACAGTGCAGTGACAAAAGAGCACCATTAATATCAGAGAAGTATATAAAAAAACAGCCTTCTATGGTACACCTTTTCACTACTGTGGGTCAGGTCCACAGATGGCAAAAGTCACTGCAAATCCATTGGATTTAGGCTAATTTACATCAGCTGAGGATTTAGCTGTATACATGCAAGCAAGTGAAGATTGACAGCAGAATGGGGGCAGAGTTAAAGTAGTTTAGGTGTTTTACTTGAGAAGTACAACTTCAACTCTGTATTTCCTGATCTTACATTTGGAAGCTTTTTGTTTTTAAATCCTAATGTTTTTGAAAAGTAACAGCCATTCAACCCACTGATGGGATCCTACAGCTTCAGCTTCAATTTAATTTTTTTGTGTTAGAATCCTTAAACGTCTGTATACCCAAGCAAAGAAATATACAGCGATCTCTGATTCTTTCCAGTTGTTTTAGTAACATTAGCAACTAACAGTTAATTAATACATTTCCCCTTTTAGTAGAATCGGTCTAACAATGGGTGGGGTACGGCCCAACCAATTAGCACTCAGACCCGCCCAAATCTGAGACCGGCCCAAACCTGAATGCAGAAATTAGTGTCTCTGTAGGGTGACCAGATGTCTCGATATTAACAGGACCATCCCAATATTAGGACTTTTGTCTTATGTACACAAGTATACCGCCCCCGCCCATGAACAAAAACTGTCCCAATTTTTCACACTTGCTATCTGGTCACCCTATGTCCATGTGGTTGTGGGCCAGGAACTCTTGGCTTGTCTGTAGAATGCCATGGTTGGCAGGAAACAGTGGAGCAGCAGCCAGCCCTGTTGCTGCCTCTGTCTAGTGCCACAAACTTCTCCTAGTCCTGGACAACTTCAGCTAGAGCCAGGCCACTGCAGGTGCTGGCTAGCCTCCCCACCCCAGCTTAACCCATTCCTGCCTACAGGGCTATGGGTATTGCCTCTCTCCACTGGCCAGCCCAGCCTCTGAGCATTTTGTAGTCAAATCCCTTCTCTGCTATAATGCTTCTCTGCATTCAACTATAATATGCAATAATATAATATAAATGATTTGCTATGACATCAGACCTTTGGTCATTGCCTATCTACCATAAGTTGGGGACTATCCAAATTTCTACTCCTAGCTATGCTGCTCACTGGAATAAAGTTAATAAAAAGCTAATTATAAACTGATCTTCAGCAACCAGAATACTCCTGTATTTAAAGACAGGATTCAGATCTGCAAATCTTTATGGCAGTAGTTTCTTTTATATCAATAAGACTATTCACACGAATAATGATTATTCTTCACATAAACTTTCTGAGTTGAAAACATATAAAAAAAACTGAATGTGTAGTATAGTTCTTTCGTCCCTGGTTCCATGTATCTACATTTGAACAAAATTTTTCCTTTTTTAAAACTTTAGAAAAATAGAGTATTTATAAAAATCAGCTTTTCCCCTTCTTTTTAGATGAGAGCAAAGGTAGCTGGAATTCATCTGTGAATCCAATATTAAAATAAAATAGAACCTGTAATATATAGCCAGCAGCTATCCATTGCTTGTAGATATGGCAGTTTCTCACAGATGTCCACAATTGTGTAGCTCAAATCTTCAACCATGTCTTTTTGCTGCAGGTAGCAGTCATTCCAATTTTAGTCTCCTTCAGTTTTTGTTTTGTTTTGTTTTTTGTGGATGTAGGCTAACACTGCCATTCAAAATTTGTTCAATTATCCATTTGGTTCAAAAAACAAATGTTTGTGATTAAGGAATACAAGCTTACACATGTTTATAAATGCTCCCTGGTAAGAAGTTGGATGCACAGTGCAATAATGAAGAAGTGAAATACAAAAACAAACCTTGTGGAAAAAAGAAAATATTAATATTTAGTGCAAAATACCTGTGTGTGTGTGTGTGTGTGTGTGTTATTTGAATTGTGGGCTCAACACAAAATGGCATGTTTTCAGATATGTACCACTCAGAGACATCCATTACTTATTAAAATCACTGAGGGAGAGGAAGGTTTAACTGTGAGGCACTAGATAGCGAAGAGGATTGATACAATATATGTTACAAGTTTGAA